CTATTATCTTACTTTAGAAGATTATTGAAAAGCCAGAAAGAGAAAATAGAAGCAGAAGCTCAAAGAGCCATGTAATCCTCCTTATCCACAGTTTCAGTCATCCAGGGTCATCCACAATCTGAAAATATTATGTGGAAAACTTCAGAACCAAATAATAGATACTTTAAGTTGTGTACTCTTCTGAGTAACAGGATGAAATCTGCTGCCTGCTCCACCCACATGCTCCATCTCTTGTCCAGCATTTCCAAGCTGTGCCTACTGCCCCCATGAACCACCTAACAGCCAGCTTGTATCAGGATGGCTGTCGAGGTATCACAGTCCTTACATCCAACAGCTTTTATTTTACTTAACAATGACACCAAAACACAACAGTAGTGAAGTAACAATTTAGGTATGCTGAAGAGAAGCCATACTTTAAATGAAAATGTGAGTTTACTGTATACCTATGTATACATGTAGATATAGGAAAATTCAAAGAATGATAGCCAGGCTGTGAGATGGCTCAGTGGTCTAAAGCACCTACTTAGAACAAGCTTGGAAAAGCACAGGGACCGTGGTTCGGTCCCCCAGCACCACATGCCAGCCAGCCCTGCCCCCTGGTGGGCTGAGCTGGCCACACACACACACACACAAATAAAAATTTTTTTAAAAAAGATGTGTTAAAAAAATAAAATAAAATGATTAAATTAAAAAAAAAAACAAAGAATGACAGCCATTACTATTATTTAAAAATTATTATTAACTATTTCTCAAATCTTAGTGAATCTGCAGACTGGGCCGAAGTTTGGATGGAAGACAGAATTAGTTATACAATCAGTAACAAAGTCCCTGCCTCCTACAGCAGCATAAAAACTGATGCAAAATTTCTAGCCCAAGTGAAAATTAATTTCATACAATTTCCACTCAGAATGGATACTAAGCCATTCCAAAACTGCATGAGTGGAATTTTTACCGGTAATCCGTCACAGAGATGCTAATCAGGAAAACAATGTTAAGCAGGTATGTGGAGAAGGTGTGTCCTAAAAACCCAGAGAGCAATTAAATACAGAAAGTTTTACCTTGAGTTGTTCTTTGAAAGCAAAGTATTTTCCAGAGCAATTAAGCTCATAGTTGAGCTGGCACTTCTGCTCCTCCAGGGTCTCGCTGTCGAGATCACACCCTAGTTTGGCCGCCTGTTTTCCAAACATTTTGTGGTACTCATCTAGAATCGCTCTAGAAATGTTCTTGATCTGTGCATGGTAGTCACTCACGGCCTGAAATAACACCAGGTGTCTCAGAAAGAGGCCTCAAAGCGGTCAGCAGACCAGACTAGGTTTGCCTAGTAAACCTAAGTCTAACACTGACTTAGGTTTTATGTTCAGTAACACTTTAGAGGGGTCGGGGAGATAGCTCAGTAGAATAAGTGCTTGCCTGGCAAGCGCAGGATCCTGAGTTCAGTCCCTGGTACCGCAAAAAAACCAAGCAAACAAACAAACAAACAAAACACATTAGATAAAGCTGCCCTTTTCTTCCCAACTGGGAAACCACAAGCCAAAGATTTTTTTTTTTTCTATTTTAAGGACGGGTCTACAGGGTGTTCAGGTCTCACTACTAGATAAGACTCATAGTGATCTGCCTGTTTACAGCCTCCCAAGAGCTGGGATATTGGGTTTGCAGGCGGGTGCCACCATGCCCAGTCTCAATTGCTCTCTCAGCACGCCCTGGAGGCAGGGCTGGTAGGTAGGCCCAGGGATCAAATCCCTGGCCCCTGCACCTGCTTGAGGAGCTTTAATCTGCTGAGTTATTTGGCCAGTCCTTTTATTCCCCCCTGCCAAAGTTTAAGTATTGTAGGATGTTCACTGTACTCCACTGATCACAAATGGAAGCAAGAAGAATGAGTTTTCACGCCTTTCGGAAGACAGAAGAGTTGACACCATTTTCAAATAAGCACGCGCAATGTCTTATTGGTCATGGTGTCCTGATGGCTTGACACTTGCCTTCTGAGCACCCCCTGTCCGACGGGTTAGGGGTGGCCGTGGAGGAATCATTTCTTTGACCCTGAATCAGAAAAAATATATATATTTAGAATACTCAAAAAAATGTATATCTGCCAATTTGCTCTGTTGGATCCCGTCTCCAGAGCATCTGCGTGGAGGAGGCCTGAGGTCTGCGTCTAAGCCATGAGCTGCACTCTCATTAAAGCCCCAGCAAGCAACTGAACCAAGTCGCAAGGGAGCAGCTATTCAGGGGGATCGAAGTGGAATTTGGCTACTAGAGCCCCAGCTTTGCCTTTACATTAAAAAAAAAATGCTATTTTGCACAACTGGCTGCTTGGCTAGAGGCTGGAAGACAAGGAGTATCATGATTTTAGGCCATTCAGCTAAGTCTCTAAAGATTCAGACATCTGGATGGTATCGGCAAGTAAAAGCTTTTTCTTTCTTTTGATCTAGGATAAAAATTTACTCTTGGCCATGGTTTACAGGAGTACAATAATTACAACAATGCTATCAGATTTTAAGGTATGAACACATTTTGTCACCATCAAATTACTGATGCCAAATTTCTACCTTCCATTTTCAGGAAACCTAGAAAGAAGTTGCCAGGGATAAGCCACTGCTCTTTTCCCTGATACTTTCAGATTCTGCTAGAGTACACGGTACTGCCTTCAAGTCTACAGGCAAACTCACAAATTCAACTTTTTATAGAAATTTATATTCCTCTTTTTGTAGGAATTTTAATCTGATTTATTTTGATAGATAATACAGCTACAGGATTTAAGATTCAAAAGTATAAAAAGGAAATTATCTCCTTTCACTTTGTTTTCTAGACTGATTTTTTTTCTCCAAACACAATGTTACTTATTCATCAAAAAATGTGTACAGGGCTGGGGAGATGGCTCAGTAGAATAAGCGCTTCCCTGGCAAGCACAAGGGCCTGAGTTCAATCCCCGGTTCCACAAAAAAAAAAAAAAAAAATCATACAGAGTGCCTAAAATATATACTGAGTGTCTCTTGTTCATCATCTGAGTTTCTAGGTCTCAGCATAGAACATTAAACAAAATAGACAAAAGCTTTTCCCCTCGTGGATTCTATCTAGAAGGGAAGGAAAGACAATAAGCAAGATAAATAGTTAAATACGCTAGCAATACGTGTCACAGAGAACAACAGTGCAGTGAGGCCAGTGGGTCATGATGGGGTTCACAGGCCATAGAACGGGAGAGTGTATTTCACCAAGAAAGGCCTCACTGAGGGAATAAGAGTTGAAGAAAGAGCAGATCACACAGCCCACGCTGGCGGCACACACCTGCAATCTCGACACTTGGGAGGCTGAGGCAGGAGGACTGCTGCAAATTCAAAGCCAGCCTGGGCTACATAATGAGTTCAAGGCCAGCCTAAACTGTAGAGAGAGACCCTATCTCAAAAAGAAAAAAAAGAAAGAAAATGTACCTGACATATATGCGGAGTAGTTTTTGGAGTACATTCCAGACCCATACTATGGGAATAAAATATTTGAAGTGAATTACCAGAAAAAAGGGTTAAAAGACCCATGTCCTTTTTTTTTTTTTTTTTTGTATTTTAGGGAAGGGTCTTCAGGGTGTTCAGGGTCTCACTACTACAACGGACTCGTAGTGATTCTCCAGTTCAGCTCCGTACAGCTTCCCAAGAGCTGGGATTACAGGTGTGCGCCCAGTTTCAATCGCCACCTCAGCGTGCCCGGGGGCGGGGCCAGCATGGCAGGCCCTGTGCCTGCTAGCAGAGCTATTTAATCTGCTCAGCTATTTGGCTGCCCCTAGACCCATGAATTTCTATTTAAACAGCTATTGCCAAGTTGCTCTCCCAGAGTTGAGCTACTTTATTCTCCCCCTTCTTTAACAAAAGCCCATTTCCAAACATCCTCATCAACAACAGAATGAGTTACTAAAAGTTTAGGTGATAAAGCAATATAGAGACAAAGTATAGGGGCCGGAGAGGTGGCCCAGTGGAATAAGTGCTTCCCTGGCAAGCGCAAGCGCCTGAGTTCAATCCCCAGTTCAGAAAAAAAAAAAAAAAAAAAAAAAACAATATGATACTTCAGGGTAGTCTCAATTTGTACTTTTTTTCTTATAAAATTAACAGCCAAAACAAAACAGGGACTAGAAAAAAAATCAACAAAATGTATGTT